GAGGTGCACCAACTCCCTTCCAGATGGAATTTGGTAAAAACTGTATATCAAGATTTTTCGAGGTGCCCGGGATTCGCCTCTCCTGTAGTTTCTACGGCATCCTGCCACAAAGGCATACCCATTCACGAAAATGTTACGCCTCCTAACGCCTTAAGAAATGATGCGGGTACTGCGATATAATTGTCGACCCTTTTTCGCCATTAAGTGTGCCGCAAAAATAAAGAGGCTTTAAACACGCAAACTACTCTCCTTGTCTCCCAATCATCCCACAAGACATCGTAGAAAGCAATGCTGATCAAAATGCAGCTCCTGTCATCAGTCTACCGGATTTAAATCGTAGGAGATCTTGCTACACACCTTCTCTCCCTTGAGAGTAAATCAGCTAGTTAGTACCTGACCTCTTCAGTGCTTTATGAAGTTGACTTTGCCTCTGTTAAGTTGCTCTCGGTAAAACACACGATTATTTCGCCTCTCGACTGCAAGCGATTTGGCAGCCTCAAAGGAAACCCTGTCACCTTTTCGTGTTGCTTTCTTCGGGGGATTTGTAGATCCTCATTTGCAGGTGCACATTTCTGTGTATCAAATGTAGCGCCTCTTAACTTTTGAAAATTATTTTTTTTTTAATTTTTAAGTGCCTAATTGCCTACGAGTAATATATTGCACCTTACAATTGTACACTTTAACTGCGTAATTTTGCTAAAGGCTTTATTTGTTAAAGTATTGAGAATTTAATCTATGTCATATCTGGTTCACATGTTCTTCGTAAATTTATTCAAAATATTTTTGACTGAAAAACATTCATTTGCCAGTAAGCAAATGCAGTTACTAAATACTTTGTCTGGAGTTTTTGGTAATTCCTATTATTTGTCTTGAAGTAATTTGGCCCAATTTAAGAATCAGCCAATTGTTTCAAGGTGGTTCCTGCTCAATTTTCCCAACATGAGGAGCTGTTTTATGTGAAGTCAGTTATGCACTAAAAGAATTCTACAGGCACTGCAACTTTTACCAAACCAACCTCTCTCAGCGGATGAATAATTGCCGCGATTTGTGGTGGAAGTGTAAAAATAGTCCTGAGAACCTTGCGGAAATACTTTGTTTTCAATATTTTTGAAGGCGTGGGCACTTGATTAAATGCGCACACCAACTCTATGGAGCCAGAGGTCTGTACTGTCCACATTATTGGCCAGCCGGCGACCTCTGCGAAAATAGACAGCGTCCTTCTGCCCAATGAGTGCATGGCATACAGTACAGATTAAATGGAGCAGCACCAACTTGTCTGGATCAAATTGCAGTTGACTTCCATGAAAATGTGACAACATGACCTAATTTTGTTTCTTAGTGTTGACTTATTAAATACCCCAGCAATAAATTTGTTATTGTCCTTCATTTCTATATTCTCAAATAATTATAGCCCATTTCACCTTGTTTAGGTTTGTCGGGTAAGCAAGTTCTCGCGTGCATATAGTACGATTCTGAGTTTTACCTGGATCTGTACTACAGCCATAGACTGTTTTTATTCTGGAATTGCATGGATGCGATGATGAGTGCAGCTGACTAGTTTATTGAGTAGTCAAAGAAGCTAGTGGGATTTCAAACTGTTGGAATTGGCAGGAACTTGTAGCGAGCATCCGCATCCCTTCAATGTGTGTGGGCCACTCACTTTTACTGGGCTTCGCTCTGCGCCCATACTTTAGAGTCCAGACATCAAGAAACGGCATTTAAGACTAGTGGATGTGGATCGGACTTGGCCATTCTACAAATCACATCTATCGGCCACAGATGCTGCACCACAGGTTTCCATAAACATGCTTTGATGAACATACTCGAAGAGACGGTTGGAGTTTTGCTTGACCATTGTTAAATAGCCTACAGTTAGGTAGAGGTACGAATAGCTGTAGTGCAACGTGTCCACACAAAGGATTCGGCATGTTACGCCTCCTAACGCCTTAAGAAATGATGCGGGTACTGCGATATAATTGTCGACCCTTTTTCGCCATTAAGTGTGCCGCAAAAATAAAGAGGCTTTAAACACGCAAACTACTCTCCTTGTCTCCCAATCATCCCACAAGACATCGTAGAAAGCAATGCTGATCAAAATGCAGCTCCTGTCATCAGTCTACCGGATTTAAATCGTAGGAGATCTTGCTACACACCTTCTCTCCCTTGAGAGTAAATCAGCTAGTTAGTACCTGACCTCTTCAGTGCTTTATGAAGTTGACTTTGCCTCTGTTAAGTTGCTCTCGGTAAAACACACGATTATTTCGCCTCTCGACTGCAAGCGATTTGGCAGCCTCAAAGGAAACCCTGTCACCTTTTCGTGTTGCTTTCTTCGGGGGATTTGTAGATCCTCATTTGCAGGTGCACATTTCTGTGTATCAAATGTAGCGCCTCTTAACTTTTGAAAATTATTTTTTTTTTAATTTTTAAGTGCCTAATTGCCTACGAGTAATATATTGCACCTTACAATTGTACACTTTAACTGCGTAATTTTGCTAAAGGCTTTATTTGTTAAAGTATTGAGAATTTAATCTATGTCATATCTGGTTCACATGTTCTTCGTAAATTTATTCAAAATATTTTTGACTGAAAAACATTCATTTGCCAGTAAGCAAATGCAGTTACTAAATACTTTGTCTGGAGTTTTTGGTAATTCCTATTATTTGTCTTGAAGTAATTTGGCCCAATTTAAGAATCAGCCAATTGTTTCAAGGTGGTTCCTGCTCAATTTTCCCAACATGAGGAGCTGTTTTATGTGAAGTCAGTTATGCACTAAAAGAATTCTACAGGCACTGCAACTTTTACCAAACCAACCTCTCTCAGCGGATGAATAATTGCCGCGATTTGTGGTGGAAGTGTAAAAATAGTCCTGAGAACCTTGCGGAAATACTTTGTTTTCAATATTTTTGAAGGCGTGGGCACTTGATTAAATGCGCACACCAACTCTATGGAGCCAGAGGTCTGTACTGTCCACATTATTGGCCAGCCGG